AATACACCCTCCAGCACTTAGGACTCATCTGCTGCCCTACTGACGTGTCCCCACTCAGGGAAATGCTTGACCTCTCATCCTGTTACTTAAAAGCAGATTCTGATGCCAAATGGGCAAATCAAAAATGAGGAAATGAAATGACAGAGTTGACAGAAACCAAAGCACAACCTGTGCCATTAGGAAGGCTATTTTGCATTTGAGGTGAGTCTGCTAGAAAATTACGGCCTGCGTAGAGTGCCTGTGGGCCTGGGGCGATGCAGGAGAGGTATAAAAGAGGCCCCATCTCGTCACTCTCTTCATCCACTCCTCTCACCTCCATCTCCCTGGGAACAAGGTGAGTCTTAAAGCTCCTCTCTTTCTCCTCCTTTACATCCCTGGGGATTGTCTCACAACATACCTGCACCTTCCTTCTCTGTTGGGTCTTGTGGTTGCTAGTCATGGGCAAGGGAAGGGGTCAGCAGGCGTGTCATGAAGTGAAGCTGTGGCTTGGCTGACATACGTCCCGAGATACGGGCTTCTTAGGGAGCTTATTCGGCCTGGACGTTCTTGCCAAGGACATTGGGGCTAAAGGAAAGGAGAAGGCTGAGGGCCTCCTTTCACAGCTGCCAGCTCCCCAAGTAGCATCTGCTGTTGCTCTCCAGTGGTGGGCTGGCAGACTGCTCCTCTCTCACCAACAATATTCCTCTGGGGCCTCACTCCCACCAGGTGCACGTCCTGCCCCGAGACATGTCCTGCTACAACCAGTGCCTGCCGTGCCTGCCATGCGGACCCTGTGGCCCAACCCCGCTGGCCAACAGCTGCAATGAGCCCTGTGTCCAGCAGTGCCAGGACTCCACTGTCGTCATCCAGCCCTCTCCCGTGGTGGTGACCCTGCCCGGCCCCATCCTCAGCTCCTTCCCGCAGAACACCGCCGTGGGATCCTCCACCTCCGCTGCCGTTGGCAGCATCCTCAGCTCTCAGGGAGTGCCCATCTCCTCCGGGGGCTTTGGCCTCTCCGGCTTGGGCAGCGGCTACTGCGGCAGGAGGTGCTTCCCCTGCTAAAGCTGCTGGTGATGGCCCGGGAGGAAGACCCCCAGGGACCCAGACGTTGGTAGCGGACTGGGCACAGAGCATAGGCTTCTTGTGTTCAGGGTGGCCAAACCTCTCCATCACGCCTTGGAAGAGGATGGCTCTCTCAGAGAGCATGGCCCATGTCTGCCTTTCCCCTCTTCCACTCTCTCCTTTCCCACCCGTGTCCTTGTTACTCACTGCAGCTCCACTGTGCTCTGAATCCCACAACATCATCGCTGAGAGGACCTGCTGGCCCTTCTCCATCAGTGCAGTGCGCAGATAGATATCTTGCAGGATGCCCATGATGTCCACACAGCTCATGCTCTCATCTGCCCCTTTTGTTTCCTGCACTTAGGCCCCCTCTCGGAGTGACCTCCTTTCCCCCGTTTGACTCTAATATTAAAGTTCTGCTGCATCCCAGCCTCTGCCTCTGAGTTTTCCTTCCCCTGCAGACACTCCAGACACCTTCTGTCAGGAGCAATGCTGTTGCTCTGGGGACTTCAGTGGGTGTGCTGGGCACAGGGGTCCATTCATTTTCCCAAAGGGTGAGGCCCTGTGCAGTACGGGCCCCTTGGGAAAGCACTGTCACTCACACCTGATGGAGGTGCCCATGAGTTCTGCAGGGCCCCTGGCCATCAGGCCCAGCTTTACTGCCTCTCTGAACACCGCCATGGGATCCTCCACCTCCGCTGCCGTTGGCAGCATCCTCAGCTCTCAGGGAGTGCCCATCTCCTCTGGGGGCTTTGGCCTCTCCGGCTTGGGCAGCGGCTACTGCGGCAGGAGGTGCTTCCCCTGCTAAAGATGCTGGTGATGGCCCGGGAGAAAGATGCCCAGGGACCCAGACGCTGGTAGCGGACTGGGCACAGAGCATAGTCTTCTTGTATTCAGGGTGGCCAAACCTCCCCAACACCCCTTGGAAGAGCATGGGACTCTTGGAGAGCACGGCCCATGTCTGCCTTACTCCTCCTCCATTCTCTCCTTTCCCACCTGTGTCCTTGTTACTCACTGCAGCTCCACTGAGCTCTGAGTCCCACCACATCAGCCTAGTGTGGGCCTTCTGTCCCTTTTCCCTCAGTGGAGTGGGCAGATGGACAGGTGGCGGGATGCTCTCCGTGGCCACACAGCGCGTGCTCTCGTCTGCCCCTGGTGCTTCCTACACTGGGGCACCCTCTTGGTGTGACCTCGTTTCCCTCTTTTGACTCTAATATTAAAGTTCTGCTGCATCCCAGCCCGCACCTCTGAGTCGTCCTTCCCCTGCAGACACTCCAGACACCAGCTGCGAGACACCATCTGGGGACGTCAGGGGGCATGTGGGACACATGGGGACCATTCACGTTTCCAAGGGTGAGGCCGTGTGCAGTAGGGCCCCGTGGAAAGCACTGTCACTCACACGTGAGGGAGGTGCCCATGAGTTCTGCAGGGCCTCTGGCCATCAGGCCCAGCTTTGCTGCCTCTCTGTCCTGGCGTGCCATATTGGCCTCAGTGCACAGCCTGCTGAAGGTGGCATGTGGCCACTGCTGGCCTCCAGTGAGGAGCCAGAGCTGCAGGTGGCCCCGGGAGGGCAGCAGCCACACAGGTTCCTGGGAAGGGGGCAGCAGGGGAGAGGGAGAGAGGCAAGAGGAGGGGCGGCAATTCCTTCTGCTCTGGGGGCAGCTGTGCTGGGCGGGGAGGCTCATGCAGAAAATGGCCCGGGAGCAGACCAGGAGAGGGAGTGGGGGAAGCAGGCTGTACTGGCTCTGGCTGTGATGGAGGCAATTGCCTTCACCATAGGCAGTATGGTGCTGTGTTCTGATTGTGTGGCTAAAACAGCGGAGGTGACACTCCAACGATTGAGCTCAGCATCAAGGCCTTCTATGTTTCCCCCTCTGCACCTTCACAGAGCAGGGGAAGGGTTGGGGAAGTTTTCAGGAGGGGACACAGTTAGGACAGCTGACCCCAATCGACCAAAGGGATGTTGCATACGATAGAGCATCACGCCCGGCAACAAAACAGCGGGACAGTTCTGCCTAAATAGCCATCCTGCAGACACTTGCTGGACATTGGTCTTCTGGTGGGAGGTGATGAGGCACAGCCTTGGCATCACTTGCTTTTTCTCTCTCGTTTCCCATTCCCTCCTTAAAATGTCTTTATATAAACCAAGAAGTTTTTCTGTCTCTTTGACTTCCAACTGTCTCCCCTGTCCTGCTGTGGCTGCGGTATGAGCGAGTGCGTTGGTGGGTGCGTAGATGCTTGCCGGGGTCAACCCACCACAGAGTCTTCCCCCTACTCCTTCCATCTGTTCCCTGGGCTTCCTGCAAAACTTTGTGGGGAAGAGGGAGGCAGGGAAAGACTGAGGGCAGGAGGAGAGACAGCGGGTGCTTTCTGAGTGTCTCTAAGGGCCATCCAAGAGCTCTCCAAAGAATCACCGCAGTCACCCAGAGCCCAGTCTGGCAGATGACTTCCTGCCAGCCTGCTCTCATGCCACGTCATCTATCTTAAAACCCCTCTATGGTTGCAGACCAAAAGCTGGTCCAGGAAAAGTTACTTGGGTGGTAAACCCACCCAAAGAGAAGTGACTCCCAGCAGTGCTCCGAGACACCGAAGACACCAATGACATCCTGGGCTGTATGAGCAGAAGCATAGTCAGGAGCTCAAGAATCATAGAATTATAGAATCATGGAAGGATAGAATTATAGAATCATGGACTTGGGTTGGAAGAGGCCTTAAAGATCATCTAAGTCTAAGCCCCCTGCCACAGACAGGGATGCCACTTGCTGTATCAGATTGGCCAAGGCCCCATCCAGAACGGCCTTGAACACCTCCAGGGATGGGGCATCCACAGCTTCTCTTGGCAACCTGTTCCAGTGCCTCACTACCCTTACAGTGAAGATTTCCTCTTAAGGTCTAGTCTAAATCTGTCCTTTTAGTTTAAGACCATTACCCCTTGCCCTATCATTTTCTACCCAAGTAAAAAGTTCTTCTCAATCTTTTTTTCTGAGACCCCTTTAAGTACTGAAAGGTCACAACGAGGTTTCCCCAGAGCCTTCTCTTCTCCAGGCTGAACTTCTTGAGCTCTCTCAGCCTTTCTTCAGAGGAGAGGTGCTCCAGCCGTCTGATCATATTTTACCCTACTCTGGACTCACCCTAAGAAGTCCACATCGTTCTTGTGCCTGAGGCCCCAGACCTGGACTCACTACTCAAAATGTGGCCTCACGTGGGCAGAGTAGGGTAAAGTCTCTCTCCAAGTCTCCCTCCACATGGCTGCTCTCGATGAGTTTTTCTCCCTGTCTGTACTCCTGTCTGGGATTGCCCTGAGCCAGGTGCAGCACCTTGCACTTAGACTTGTTGAACCTCATGCGGTTAACACAGGCCCACTTCGCCAGCCTGAGGAGGTCCCTTTGAATGGCATCTCTTCCTTCTTTTCTATCAGCTGCACCACTCAGCTTGGTGTCATTGAGGGCAGTGACAATCCCACTCTGCTCGGCACTCCTCCAAACGCATCTGGAACACTGTGCCCAGTTTGGAGCTGTGTAGCAAGACAGACTTTGACCAAGAACAGCAAGTTCTGCGGTGTTGTTGTTAGGAAGGGATTTCCTGTCTTCTCCTGGGCAGCTATGCCCTCCACCTTGTCAAGGGCCTAGTCATCCCTTGTTCTTTACTACTTGCTTCATGCTGTTGTGCTTATCAGAGAAGAAGAAACACTGTGCACACCAAAATGCACAGAGGCCACTCAACTACGTTGGATAAATCCATCCAGCTCTAAGTAACGACATATTTAAAATCCAGAGGGTGACCTGATGCATGAAGAAGCATATTGAATGCAAGTCTGTGTTAATAATTGCTAAGAATGAGCATCAGCAATCACCTGCTCCCAGAACTACCCGTGAGCAACACCTCTCTCCCCAGGCATCCTGGAAAAGCAGCTGCAGGGGAAAGACAACTCAGAGGCAGAGGCTGGGATGCAGCAGAACTTTAATATTAGAGTCAAACGGGGGAAAGGAGGTCACTCCGAGGGGGGGCCTAAGTGCAGGAATCACCAGGGGCAGACGAGAGTGTGAGCTGTGTGGCCATGGTGGGCAGGCTACCATTTGGCCACCTGTCTGCTCCACTGCGGGAGAAGGGCCAGCAGGTCCTCTCAGCGATGACGTTGTGGGATTCAGAGCACAGTGGAGCTGCAGTGAGTAACAAGGACACGGGTGGGAAAGGAGAGAGTGGAAGAGGGGAAAGGCAGACATGGGCCATGCTCTCTGAGAGAGCCATCCTCTTCCAAGGCGTGATGGAGAGGTTTGGCCACCCTGAACACAAGAAGCCTGTGCTCTGTGCCCAGTCCGCTACCAACGTCTGGGTCCCTGGGGGTCTTCCTCCCGGGCCATCACCAGCAGCTTTAGCACGGGAAGCACCTCCTGCCACAGTAGCGGCTGCCCAAGCCGGAGAGGCCAAAGCCCCCAGAGGAGATGGGCACTCCCTGAGAGCTGAGGATGCTGCCAACAGCAGCAGAGGTGGAGGATCCCACGGCGGTGTTCTGCGGGAAGGAGCTGAGGATGGGGCCGGGCAGGGTCACCACCACGGGAGAGGGCTGGATGACGACAGTGGAGTCCTGGCACTGCTGGACACAGGGCTCATTGCAGCTGTTGGCCAGCGGGGTTGGGCCACAGGGTCCGCATGGCAGGCACGGCAGGCACTGGTTGTAGCAGGACATGTCTCGGGGCAGGACGTGCACCTGGTGGGAGTGAGGCCCCAGAGGAATATTGTTGGTGAGAGAGGAGCAGTCTGCCAGCCCACCACTGGAGAGCAACAGCAGATGCTACTTGGGGAGCTGGCAGCTGTGAAAGGAGGCCCTCAGCCTTCTCCTTTCCTTTAGCCCCAATGTCCTTGGCAAGAACGTCCAGGCCGAATAAGCTCCCTAAGAAGCCCGTATCTCGGGACGTATGTCAGCCAAGCCACAGCTTCACTTCATGACACGCCTGCTGACCCCTTCCCTTGCCCATGACTAGCAACCACAAGACCCAACAGAGAAGGAAGGTGCAGGTATGTTGTGAGACAATCCCCAGGGATGTAAAGGAGGAGAAAGAGAGGAGCTTTAAGACTCACCTTGTTCCCAGGGAGATGGAGGTGAGAGGAGTGGATGAAGAGAGTGACGAGATGGGGCCTCTTTTATACCTCTCCTGCATCGCCCCAGGCCCACAGGCACTCTACGCAGGCCGTAATTTTCTAGCAGACTCACCTCAAATGCAAAATAGCCTTCCTAATGGCACAGGTTGTGCTTTGGTTTCTGTCAACTCTGTCATTTCATTTCCTCATTTTTGATTTGCCCATTTGGCATCAGAATCTGCTTTTAAGTAACAGGATGAGAGGTCAAGCATTTCCCTGAGTGGGGACACGTCAGTAGGGCAGCAGATGAGTCCTAAGTGCTGGAGGGTGTATTCGGTGTCCGTGGCAAGGTTTTGGTAACGGGGTTCTTCAGGGGTGGCCTCTGACAGAGGTGTCCAGAATCACGGAATCACAGAATTGTAGGGGTTGGAAGGGTTTTCTAGTGATCATCGGTTCCAACCCCTCTGCCTAAGCAGTTTCCCTAGAGCAGGTTGCCCTTGTAGGCATCCAAACAGGACTTGAATTTCTCCAGAGAAGGAGACTTCATAGCCTCCCTGGCCTGGCTATTCCAGTGCTCCATCACCCTTACCATGAAAAAGTTCTTTTGCATGTTGGTGCGGAACTTCCTGTGAGCCATTTTTTGGCCATTGCCCCTTGCCCTGTCCCCACAAACCACTGAAAAATGGTTGGCCAATTCCCTCCATCTCCCACACTTAAGATATTTGTAAACATTATTAAGATCCTGTCTCATTCTTCTTTTCTCAGCGCTGAGCAGACTCAGAAGCTGCCCCATGTTAGATAAGAGCCAGTTTCAGGTGGCTCCAAACTGGCCTGCTTCTGTCCAGAGCCAAGCCAATATGCAATGTTTTTTCTGGCTGTGTGAGAGCAGAATTAAGAAAAGGAAAACTACTCCGGCACAACAGCAGCTGGAACAGCGAGGAGTGAGAAACAGCCCTGAAGACACCAAGCTCAGTGAAGAAGGAGAGGGAGGAGGCGCTCCAGGTCCTAAAGCGGACTCACAGAATCATGAAATCATTAAGGTTGGAAAAGACCTCCAAGATCATCCGGTCCAAGCACCTCCTATCACCAATATCATCCACTAAAGCATGTCCCCAAGTACCACAGCCAACCTTTCTTTAAACACCCCCTGGGATGGTCGCTCCACCACCGCCCCAGGACAGCCCCTTCCAACGTCTGACTATTCTTTCTCAGAATAAATTTCTCCTCATTTCCAACCTGAACTTCCCCTGGTGCAACCTGAGGCCATTCCCTCTAGTCCTACCACGAGTTATCTGTGAGAAGAGGCCAACCCCCAGCTCCTTTCAGGTAGTTGTAGAGGGCACTAACATCTCCTCTGAGCCTCGTCTTCTCCAGACTAAACAACCCCAGTTTCCACAGCTGCTCCTCACAGGACTTGCGCTCCAGACCCTTCACCGCTTTGTAGCCCTTCTCTGGACACACTCCAGGGCTATGATGTCTTTAAACAAAGACATTAAAGACGATGGCCCCAACACCAAAAACCCTGGGGAGCACCACTCGTCAAGAGCTGGATTTGACTCCATTCAGTCAGAAGTTCCCCTGTGGCCCGTGGAGAGGCCTCTGGTGGAACAGGCTGTCCCCCTGCAGCCCATGGGTACCATGGTGGAGCACATCTCCACACTAGCCCATGGAGGATCCCCCAGTGGAGCAGCTGGTCCTTGCCCGAAGGAGGCTGTGGCCCATGGAGAGGACCACAGTGGAGCAGGCCCTGGGTCGGAGCTGCAGCCTGTGGACAGGACCCCACGCAGGAGCAGGGGTTCTGGGCGGAGCTGCCGCCCGTGGGGGAACCCGTGCTGGAGCTGTTTCTTCCTGATGGATGGACCCTGTGGTACGGACCCATATTTGCAGGAGTTCTCGAAGAGCTGCTGCCTATGAGAAGCCCACGCAGGATCAATTCAGGAGGGACTAAATCCTGTGGGAGGGACCCCACATTGGAACAAGGGCAGAGAGTTACTGTGAAGGAGGGGCTGAGTCGAAATGTTACGGACTGACCACAGCCCCACTGCATGTTCCCCTGCGCCACCTGGAGGAAGAACGACGAAGATGGTGGCTGGGCGAGAAGGTGTTTTTAGTTTGCTTCCAGTTTCTCACTGCACTAGCTTGTTAGTAATAGGTAATAAATTACATTAATCTCCCTATTCTGAGTCTGTCTTGTCTGTGGCTATAACTGGTGATAGACCTCTCTGTTTTTATCTCAACCCTTGATCCCTTTTCATCGCATTTCCTCCCCCTTCCCTTTAAGGCGGGGGAATTAGAGAGTGGTTGTGATGCAGCTCAGCTGCCCAGCTGAGTAAAACCACCATAGAGTAGGTCAGAAGGGGTAGAAGATGAGTCCCAAGTGCTGGAGGGGTCCTGCATATCCTTCTGTCTATGCAGAGCCCTCCTGGATGACCAAAGCCTCCCTCGCCTGAGGACACAGCACATCCTTCTACAACTTGGCCTGGCTCCCAGTCTGCTCCACCAGTCACAGCTCATTGCCTGCATAGGCAGATGGGCTGTGCTGCAGTTTTGAAATGAACTGGCACAAGACAGCTCCTTTTTAATGACATGTTTTCTGTATCCTTGGCCTTGTTCCCTCTTGTGGCTGTCTCCTGGGCTCTTCAGGCAAGCCATGTCGTCAGCTGCTGTGAGGAAGGCAAAGGTTGCTCTCCTGAGCACAATGATGCCCAGCAAGTCCTGGGGAATCAGGCCCCTTCACTACCAGAGGACTGAGTTGTTCACGGGGACAGTGTCTTGCTCCACCACTCTCCTTTCCGTACCATGCACTTTGGCTGGATGCATTCTGTGACCAGCAGCGCACCCAAAGACATGCCCTATTGTGCAAAGTTTTCCAATGATCCTGTGATCTTCTGGAGTTATGAGAGTTCTGGTCAGAAGGTCATGCTGCAGGGTGATGGCTGTTGGGGCTGCCTGGAGGGTGGCACAGTTTGAGCTCAGGCTCAGATGGAGCTGCTGGGCCAGAAGGGCATTTGGCACGTATGGTGCTCAGGCCTGCAGACAGCAGGCACTCTGGCTTGGCTTCATGCCAAAAATGTGGCACGTGGCCAATCCCAAATTAGAGCATGACTCGTCCTGGGCAGGGAGAGTCTCTCCCAGAAAGCTTGCCTGCTGAAGGCATTCCCTTGCCCTCCTGGGGTGTGTCCCAGCTGCCTCCCATGTCTGCAGGGCAGGGAAGTGCTTTGTTCATGCAGCAGGGATGCATTGCCTCCTTGATGGAGTCTGGGAGGTGTTTCTGTAGCCAGGGCCCTTGTGAGCAAGTCCCCTCCCTGAGCATGCCCAGCCGCGTGGCAGTGCCCATTCCTGCCAGCCCTCGCTTGTTGAGTGGGAGCTTCCTTGTCCCCCCGGTGGTGCTGGCTTGTTCTGTTGCCTGAGGAGGGCTTTGGGACATGGCAGAGGAGGTGTGCTGAAGCCCTAATGCTAGGAGAAGACGTATTGCCTGGGACCCAGAGACGAGTCCCATCAAGGGGGAAGATGTTTTCTGCAAGCCTTTCTTTCCCTCCAGAAAGCACTCAGGAGAGCTCCTACATACAGCCCCATCTCTTTGGCCAGGAGGGTGAGGCTTGTGTGTCCCTTGCCTTCCACCCTTCATGTCTGACCCTACTCTGGGGGCAGACCTACTCAGAGGAGGTCCAGGGGACGCAGGATCAGAGGGTAGTTCAGTCCCCAGTCTGCAGTGCTGCAAGAGTTTGTTCCCCATCCTGTGCAGGACCTGTCTTTTGTCCTTCTAGATTGCCTTGAGGTTCCTGAGGGCCCATTCCCGCAGGCTGTCTAGGTCTCCCCTTGTGGCAGCCCTGCACCAGAGTGCACCAGCTGGCCCCCAGTTGCTGTCTCCTCCCAAGTTAGTGGAAGTGGTAATGGCATCAAGGCAGACAGCTGAAAGCATTGGCACAGCCTGGATGCCTGGGGAGGCAAAGACCAGTGACCGTTGGATGGAGCAATGAGGGAGGGACAAGAGAGAAGCTTATGGTGCATTCTTAATGAACAGGACCTTGGGTGCTCTGCTGTGATTGCAGCTCCATGAGGAGCAGGCCCTCTTCCTGCAAAACACATCACCAACCATTCCCTGAAGTGCACAAAGCCATGTCCTGTCCTCTACCTGAATACAACCACTCCTGCACTCGGGCTCCTTTTTTGCCCATACTGATGTGATCCTGCTGGGGTATTACTTGGGTCTCTCATAGCACCACTAGAAAGTAGCCTGTATGGTAAAATAGGCATGTCAAAAATGAGGAAATGAAATGGCAGAGTTGATGGAAACCAAAACAAAATCTGTGCCATTAGGAAACCTATTTTGCATTTGAGGTGAGTCTGATGGAAAATTACGGCCTGCACAGAGTGATTGTGGGCCTGAGGCAGTTCACGGGAGGTATAAAAGCAGCCCCATTTCCTCTGTGTCTTCATCCACTCCTGCCTCCTCCATCTTCTTGGGATCAAGGTGAGTCTGAAGCCCTTTCCCCTCTTCTTCTTCCCTGGAGATTTGTTAGCAGATGCCTGCACCTTCATAGACTTCTGCATCTTGGGAGCACTAGCCATGGGAGAGGGAAGGGATTGGCAGGTGTGTCATGGAGAGGAGCTGGGGCTTGGATGAGGTGTATCTGACGCTATGGGCTATGTGGGGATCTTTGTGGATATTGACATTCTTACCAAGGACACTGCAGACCGAGGGAAGAGAAAGCTGTGGGCCTCCTTACACAGCTGCCAGTTCACGAAACATCATGTGCCATGGTTCTCTCTTGGTGGGCAGTATGATGCTCCACTCTCACCTATGTGCTCCTCCTGTCCCTCCCTCCCTCCAGGTGCACGTCCTGCCCCGAGATATGTCCTGCTACAACCGGTGCCTGCCGTGCCTGCCATGCGGACCCTGTGGCCCGACCCCGCTGGCCAACAGCTGCAATGAGCCTTGTGTCCAGCAGTGCCAGGACTCCAACGTCTTCATCCAGCCCTCTCCCGTGGTGGTGACCCTGCCTGGCCCCATCCTCAGCTCCTTCCCGCAGAACACTGCTGTGGGATCCTCCACCTCTGCTGCTGTTGGCAGCATCCTCAGCTCTCAGGGAGTGCCCATCTCCTCCGGGGGCTTTGGCCTCTCCGGCTTGGGCAGCCGCTTCTGTGGCAGGAGGTGCTTCCCCTGCTAAAGCTGCTGGCTATCTGAATTGGGGCCTCTTCAGAGAGTGACCTCATTTCCCTGTGTTGACTCTAATATTAAACTTCTGCTTCATCCCGATCTTCACTGCTTGGTTTTCTTTTCCCTGTAGACACTCCAGACACCTGCTGTCAGGAGCAATGCTGTTGCTCTGGGGACATCAGTTGGCATGTGGGGCAACTGGGGAGTACGGGCCCCTTGGGAAAACACTGTCACTCACACGTGAGGGAGGTGCCCATGAGTTCTGCAGGGCCTCTGGCCATCAGGCCCAGCTTTGCTGCCTCTCTGTCCTGGTGTGCCATCTCGGCCTCAGTGCACAGCCTGCTGAAGACGGCATGTTGTCATTGCGGGCCTCCAGTGAGGAGCCAGAGCTGTAGGAGGCCCTGGAAGGGCAGCAGCGACACAGGTTCCTGGGAAGGGGGCAGCAGGGGAGAGGGAGAGAGGCAAGAGGAGGGGCGGCAATTCCTTCTGCTCTGGGCGCAGCTGTGCTGGGCGGGGAGGCTCATGCAGAAAATGGCCCCGGAGTAGACCAGGAGAGGGAGTGGGGGAAGCAGGCTGTACTGGCTCTGGCTGTGATGGAGGCAATTGCCTTCACCATAGGCAGTATGGTGCTGTGTTCTGATTGTGTGGCTAAAACAGTGGAGGTGTCACACCAGTGATTTAGTTCAGCCTTAAGGCCTTCTATTTTTCCTCTCTGCAATCCCAGAGAACAGTCGAGCAAGTGCTAGCCTGTTAACTTTCCCCACAGTAGCCTCTAGATAGCTGTGCTTTGCACTTGGAGCTAGAAGAGCTTTTTATCTTACCAATCCTTGGGCTATTATGGAGCAGTACTTGCATATCATCAGGACTCTCTACAAGCCCCCTAAGTGCCCGAGGTAGGGAGTGGGCAAGAGGAAGGGATGAGATATCACCAGGGCAGCACAGCTAAAGCAACCAAAGGGTTATTGCACACCATTTGTCATCACACCCAGAACAAAAAATAATTAAAAAAAAAGAAAGACAGAGAAGGTGGAAGGGATGCTGTCATTGAGAAAACATCTATCCTCCCAAACAACCACTACACTTTTGAGGCCTAGCTTCCCAGGACGTGGCTGATAGTGGTGGGGTGGAGTGAATAATCGTTTTCTCTTAGCTTCTGCACATCTTTTCTTGTTTTTCTCTTTCTTTTTCTTTGAATTCCACTGTCATTTTCTCCATATGTGAGAAGACTTTTTTTTCCCTATAGTACATTCTCCCACCCTTCTCATCCTTTCATGATGGGGAGTAACAGAGCAGTTTGGTGAAGTTTAGTTTGCCAGCAATGTGTAACCATCAGAGTGGGAAGTGCTCAGAAGGGGACGCAGCTAGAACATCTGACCCAAATTGACCAAACAGATATTTCATGCCATATCACATCATGCTCAGCAACAAACCATGGGACAGTTGTTCCAAAGTAGCCATTCTGCAGTGACTGGCCAGGCATTGGTCTGCTGGTGGGAGGTACTGAAACACTGCCTTTGCATCACTTGTCTTTTCTCTTTTTGTCTACTGTTCCCCTCATAAGCTGTCTTTATTAACAGACTTTTGCTTCACAAGGTGCTGCATGCAGTGAGGCACATTTGAATTGCTTCTACACAAATGCACACAGTATGAGGAATAAAATGGATCAGCTAGAAGTCTTGGCCCAATCCCACACCTATGACATCACCAGCATAAGTGAAACATGGTGTGATGGGTCCTGTGGCTGGTGTGTCGCAATAGATGGTTACAGGCTCTTCAGGAGTGACAGACAGTAGGCAAGGTTGTGTGTGTGGGGGCGGCAATGTACGTGAAGCAGGGGCTGGACTCTGTGGAACTTGAAGTTGGCGATGGCAAAGGTAAGAGCCTCTGGGTAAGGATTAAGGGACAAACAAGTAAAGGGGATGTCGTGGGAGTCTATTACAGGCCACCCAGCCAGGACAACAACACCAGCAAATTATTCTTTGTAGAACTAAAAGATGCCTCAAGATCAACTCCCCTTGTTATTATGGGGGACTTCAACTTGCCAGACATCAACTGGGATTACCACACAGCCAACATGAGCAAATCCAGGAGGTTCCTACAGCACCTAGATGATACCTTCTTGGTGCAGGTGTGAAGGGAGCCAACTAGGAAAGTTGACCTAGGTCTGTTGCTGGAGAACAGAGAGGCTCTTGTGGTGGACATGGCAATTGGTAGCTGTCTTGGCCATAGTGACCATGAAGTGGTTGCGTTTAAAATTTTTGGTGACAGATGGAAATCTGCCACCAAAAATTCAGCCCTGGATATGGGGAAAGCAGGCTGCTCAGGGAACTAGTCAGCAAGGTCCCCTGGGAAATTGCTTTTGAAGGCATTAGCGTCCCTCAATGCTGGTCAGTCTTTAAGCACTGTCTCCTAAAAGCACAGGATCAGGCAATTCCAAAATATCAGAAGTCAAGCAGGTAAGGCAGAAGGCTGGCCTGGCTGACCAGGGATCTTCTACTGGAGCTTAGGCGAAAAAAGAAATGTACTGACCCTGCTGGAAGCAGGGTCAGGTAACATGGAAGGAATACAGGGACACTGTTCACGTTTGTAGGGAGAAAATTCATATGGCCAAAGCCCAATTAGAGTTGAAGCTGGCCAGGTCTGTGGGAGACAATAAAAAGTTTTTTTTTAGATATGTTAACAGAAAAAGGAGGACCAAAGTAAACATAGGTCCACTACTTGATGTGGAAGGTCACATTACAGACAAGGACATAGGCAAAGCAGAGACGTTTAATGTTTTCTTTGCCTCCATCTTCAACACTGATGATGGGCTTCATGACCTAGGATGCCCTGAGCTGGAGGACCATGACAGTGGGAATGAGAAACTCCCAACAGACCCTGAACATGTGTGGGATTTGCTGCTCCACCTGGATCCATACAAGTCCATGGGTCCAGGTGGGATTCATCCCAGGGTGCTTAAAGAGCTGGCTGACGTCATCACAGAACCTCTCTCAATTATTTTTCAACAGTCTTGGGAATCTGGAGACGTCCCAATAGACTGGAAGCTGGTAGATGTACCACTTTTCAAGAAGGGCAAGAAAGTAGACCCTAATAATTACAGGCCAGTCAGTCTCACGTCAGTGCCTGGTAAAATTATGGAGAAGATTATGCTTGAAGTTATTGAAGTGCACCTGGGGGACAATGCAGTCATTGGTCCCAGCCAGCATGGGTCCATGAGGGGTAGGTCCTGCTTAACAAATCTGATTTCCTTTTATGGTAAGATCACCCATCTAGTTGACCAAGGGAAACCAGCTGATGTGATCTTTTTGGACTTCAGCAAAACTTTTGACACGATTTCCCATAGGATCCTACTGGACAAAATGTCCAGCATCCAGCTAAACAAAAACATCATCCAGTGGGTGAGCAATTGGCTGACGGGCAGGGCTCAAAGGGTTGTGGTAAATGGGGCCACATCAGGCTGGTGGATGGTCACTAGCAGGGTCCCCCAAGGCTCCATTTTAGGGCCAGCCCTCTTCAATGTTTTTATAAATGATTTGGATGTAGGACTAGAAGATATTTTGAGCAAATTTGCCAACGACACCAAACTTGGAGGAGTTGTGGACTCGGGTGAGGGTGGAAAGGCCTTGCAGAGAGATCTGGACAGATTGGAGAGCTGGGTAATCACCAAATGCATGAAGTTTAACAAGAGCAAGTGCTGGGTCCTGCACCTGGGACAGGGCAACCCTGGCTTTACATACAGATTGGGTGACAAGATGCCGGAGAGCAGCCCTGCAGAGAAGGATTTAGGGGTAGTGGTTGACAGCAAGTTGAGTATGAGCCAGCAGTGTGCCCTGGCAGCCAGGAGGGCCAACTGTATCCTGGAGTGCATCAAGCATGGCATTGCTACTCGGTCAACGAAAGTGATTGTCCCGCTCTACTCCGCAGCCTCACCTCGAGTATCAGGTACAATTCTGGGCATCACAGTACAAAAAGGATGTAAAACTGTTGGAGAGTGTCCAGATGAGGGCTACAAAGATGGTGAAGAGCCTAGAGGGGAAGATGTATGAGGTCACTTGGCCTGTTCAGCCTAGAAAAGAGGAGGCTGATGGGAGACCTCATCGCGGTCTACAGCTTCTTCATGATGGAGTGTGGAGGGGCAGATGCCGATCTATTCTCCTTAGTCACCAGTGATAGGACCCGCAGGAATGGTGTCAAGCTGAGGCAGGGGAGGTTTAGGCTAGACATCATGGAAGAGGTCCTTCACTAAGAGGGTGGTCGCACACTGGAACAGGCTCCCCAGGGAAGTAGTCACTGCACCAAGCCTGTTAGAGTTTAAGAAGCATTTGGACTGTGCACTTAATCACATGGTCTAAAATTTTGGGTAGACCTGTGTGGTGCCAGGGGTTGGACTCAATGATCCTTATGGGTTCCTTCCAACTCGGGATATTCTATGGGTCTATGATTTATATTGACTGGGAAGTTTTTCCTCATGCTTGGTCTTCCAGTTCTCTCCCATATCCTGCTGAGGCTGAGGTGTGACCAAGTGGGTGGATAGTGCTCAGATGTTTGCTAGGGTCAATCCACCACATGGGTTCATAGGCAGTACTTGTCTTCCTTCCTCTGCTCCTTCCATCTGTTCCAAAGGCTTCCTGCAAAACTTTCTGGAGCAACAGGTGCTGGTTGAGTGTTTCCAAGTGCCATACATGAGCTCCCAAAGCAGTGCTTAGATCACCCAGAGCGCAGTCTCGCACATGCTTTCCTGCCAGCCAGTCCTCATGCCACATCATCTATCTTGCAGCCCTTCTATGGCAGGAGACCAGAAGCTGGCCCAGGAAAAGTTGCTTGGGTAGTATAGCCACTCAAATAGAAGTGACTCCCAGCAGTGTTCCCAGACACCATGGACACCAATTGGACCCTGGCCTTTATGAGCAGAAGCACAGTCAGGAGCTGAAGGGCAGTGAAAATCCCACTCTGCTCAGCACTCCTCCAAATGCATCTAGAACATTGTACCCAGTTTGGAGCTGTGTAGCA